AGAAGCTTTGTCAGGCAGCATGTCCTGGTTCTGCTATGAACTGTAATGGTATAATGACATTTAAAATATACATTTATTTAGCTGGTGCTTTTATCCAAAGCAATGTACAGAAACCAGTCCGCCAATCCCTGGGATAACTGGAGTTAACGGCCTTGCCCTAGGACCCAATGCCGATGTCACTTTGCCAACCACGGGATTTTAACCAACAACCCTGTGATTGCAGGCCCAGAGTCCTAAGCCACAGAGCCACATAATATCAAGCACCAACAAAACCTATTTATATGTTTGTATTAGGACTGCCAATTGATTAAACAAAATAATCACACAATTTGCAATGAATTGATCGCGATTAATTGTGATTTAAAACTTTTTTCTTCTTAAGACTAAAGCTTGTTATAATGAATATTTTAATGTAAATCACCAAATTAATGTAGAATAATCACAATGGACGTATATTTCAGACACTTTTGTTCAATAGCATTTTTAAACAGTAGGAGTTTGTCTCTGTACAATCCCTTTTCTTTCTGCCTACTTTTAAATGTGCTTACAAAGTGTGCCACACAATGAATAGCACTGAGACAATTCCGCTGGCTTATCCTAGTTCATGACTCTACAATATGGTGGCTCTGCCCCATAATGTACTGTATGAGGATGTCGGTTGCCACATAATGCACTGCGCAATGATGTTGGTTGCCAAGCTCTACTGTCTCTGGTTAGGATGAGGTTTGCAGCATCTGTGTCATAGTTCAGTCACCAAACCGTAAGTAAACAAAACGCAGCTGCATTAATTGCACTCATAATTTAAATTAATAAAAATATTTAAAATTAATCGCAATTATTAATACGTTAATTTTGACAGCCCTAATATACAAACTTTTTGACTTTTCCATGGGTGGGGTATAACAAGATGGTTTCAAATACTAATCTGTTTTGCTGTAAAAAATAAACAGAAAATATTCCTTAGTAGTGACTCGAAGTTTATCTTCTTTTAAAGTGAAACAGATGAGATGTTTCTAAAGGTTTTAGGGCCGGGGTGGACATTTGATGAGTGGGACCGGATGGGTGGAACCCTGTAGAGAGGTTTGGGAAGGTTGTGAAAATGTCAGCCCATGTCGCTGACAGCATTCCGAGCTTTAGGGGGCTGCAAGACAGAGTGCGACCCATGACATGCTGTGATATATATAACACAGCAAGAAGCCTAGGCAGTATTTGCTGCCCCCCAAGAGTGAAAAGAACTGTCCCTGCCCCCAGGCCGCCCAGCCGTACCTGTGTATCGGGCACGCTCACACACGGCCTGGCCTCCCTCGCACGTGCACTGCTCCACGCCACGCATATGAATTCTGCCCCATGACTCGCCCAGGTCGTAGTGCTTCCGGTGTGATTCTTCGTAACACTTCTCTAACGTGGGAAGGGGGCGGGGTGGGGAGAGGCACAGGCTTGAGAATGAGGTGGAAATGTTAGAACCTGAGGCTGGACTGGAGAGCCGGGCGGGGAGAACTGCATTACATCAGTCGCAAGTTTTGGCAAGTGATACATCTGACATAGAGCCATACTCTCCTCTCATATGGTACGTTCCGCTACTTCTGTTTCTGTCTTAAATGACTCTTTTTAACGTTAGGCGTCTATCAATATGATTGAATAAACCTATTAAGCACTAAAACTTGAATCCGTTATGAGTACATGTTTGTCTAGGTGTATATATTTGATACTACTGTGATAGTCCTACTGTACACTACTGGCCAAAATTGTGGAAATACTTCCAATTTTTAAAGATTGCAGCATTTTATTCCAATTACTCCAGTTCCTTATTTAATTGTCCCATATATGATATTTGTAACATTCATTAATTGTTTATAAACATTACTGCCAGTATTCGTCTATTAATTTTTAAAACGTAATGCCAAAAACGCTAGGTGTTTCCACAATTTTAGTCACTGGTAGGTACTTCTTTACAGTAAACAATATAACGCCTATATTTAGGGCCTAATTTGACCAAATAATTTGGACCATCCCGACAAATGGTACAGCGATATCATGCTGCATTATCAGATAATATCATAGATAATATAATAATAATTATATCTGTATAAATTGAAATAGTTATTGAGTCTAACCGTATCCACCTTGCTGAGTCCCTTTTTACTAATGTAATGGTTTCATTGCCCCAGCAAAGACAGTCCTGAACCTTGCTCTGTTATATGATGCAGGTATAAATGGTTCAGGCATTGCAATTTTATTCTGTTCTGTTTGACTTGTCTTGAGGTTCTTCATATTTGTCTGATGGTTATGGTTGTTTACATTTGCCTGTTCTAGGTTTTATATTTGTTTGATATTTTCAGGATTGTCACATTTCACTGATACTCCTCAGTGTTGATATTTCTCTAATGCCCCTGGGTGTTGATAAATGCCTGATACTTTCCTGTGTTTATATACTTCACTGTGTTTATATATTTGTTGTACTCCAGTTCCTCTGCTCAGTTCCTTTTATGGCCGTGTTTAACCCGGAGATGCACACTTTTTACTATGGTGGAGAGTATGAGGGAGGTGGACAGGGCTCACCCTGTGAGCACAGGTTCCCGGTGAAGGGCTCGGGACAGTGGCACACAAAAGCCCCCCGTCGAGGGTCACTGGTGCACAAACCGCCGTTGGCGCATGGGTGGTCCTGGCAAGGATCCGCTGCTGTGTGGGCAAACACCAGCCGTGGGGAGGGGGGGTGGCTGGGGGCTGGAGTGACAGGGTAAGAGCAGAAAGGGCAGCACCTAAAATCACACAACCTCACCTACCGCTGGTGCCCAGTTCTTCAGATACACAGAAGGCCCATTTTCTGTCCCGGTCAAAGTTGGAGGTTGTGGAGCACCTGAAATTCAGACATGCAAAAAAATTCTGCTAATTCTGAAAGAGGGGCTGAGTTTGGTGGTAGGTCTCCTTATAAAGAGGTAGACACCTATATATGTGTAAACAGCAAGACCATATGTGACTTGAATAGCTGGGACTTTATGGAGTTCACCAGAAACAATCAGTGAAAGCATTACTGAGACTGTGATATCTGAATCTTTACTTAACTGTAAAGATCACCGCAACACTAACAGCTTTCAGAAAAGGCAGTCAATGAACATCATTCATGAGTTTTAAGACCTCAACCTTCAGTCACACCATTTTTCAGCAAACCAACTACCGACCAGCTAAACATGGTAAGCCTAGGCTTGAAAACATTCAACATGATCCTTTAACTAAGTTCAGTATTCAAATTTAAATTGATGTCCTTCTATTAATGACTGTTGAGCAAAACTCAAGAAAGATACAGTAATTGTTGGAACACGTACATTCCCAGAAATGTAAACCCTTTATGGAAATAGTTTTGGTTTATTTCATAGTGAATTGTCTATTTTTCTCGTTAACATGTGCTGGTATGTGATCCTGACTGAGATGTCAGAAGATAATGGAAGAAGGTCATCTCGTCACACAAAAGAGATGGAGCAATTTTTTTTTGTTTGTCTTACCAAAAACGGGACGAATGGGTGGGGAGACACTGGTGGTGCACCATCCCAGCATAGCGGAATGGGAATTTGCACTCTTGTCCATCTACGGTAAACACTGAATCACGACCACCACTATTAGTTCTCTTACTAATATTCAATTCAAAAGATCCTGTAATTACCCACAAGCGAAACCAAAGGTTTCCACAGTAAGGCTACAGCTGCAACTATTACAACATTTTACCTTTACCGAGACTCCTTTTTACTATGGTCCTTGTGTTGATAACTTCCGATCCGGTAAGTACTCCGCGCTGCAAATATAGGCATTAATAAAAATTAAACAAAGCTGGTCATTCTTCATCTATGCAGCAGTAAAAGTACACCAGGGGTGTGGTAAATTTCATCATTAATATTCGTGAAATCCATATTATCGTTTATCCCACGAAAACATAGAAAGTCCGCGCGTAATATATTACGGGACTTACGGGCTGTAATAAGGACTTAAACGTATTTTAACGCCCTGTACGTAATGCAGAAGTAGACACTTTTGGGAATATCTTTGCTTCTTTTCCCAAAAGTCACCCGTTTCTTCTTTTTTTTCATATGTATAGTTCTGTGACTGCGTCAGTAAAACACGATACAGATGTATGATATGAACAATTTGCACCAAAAGACGGTATTAAAACCTCTTTATGGTAGGCACTGCAACAGCGAACTATAGCATTATTTTGCAAGAGAAACTTACCGTCGTACTCGCGCTGAACACATAACGTAGAAGAACTAAAGCGAACATCGCCCTCGCTAGCCGATTCATTTGCGCTCTGTTAACCTGCAAGGATATGAGTCCCAGAAGGATGTGTGACAAATGTGAGTTTGTTGTCTCCAGTGACACTTTCTTAAGTAAATTCCTTCCAAGAGTGGAGAAGAAGTGTATTGGTCCGAGGAACCACATGCAACTAGCCTATGTAGAAGTGATATTTATCCAGTAAGTGGGGATTCTTGTTTCACAGCTGCGTCACTTGGGAAAGACCTTTTCTGAAGGTTAGGTAATAGATCTGCTGTGGGACATGCCCTAAGGATGAGAAATGTACAGGAGAGGCGAACCACTTTTTTTTTAAGAAGAGGGAAATTTGTTTTCAGATAAGATACTTGATACTTAACAGCTGGATTTAAAAGGCAGAGAACAGTAACAAAATTAAGAGAAAAAAAACAACTAGAACGAACTTAGGTGGTTATTTTTGGGTATACTTTTAAGAAGTTTTTAAAACATATCTTTATAATGAAGTACTTTCGAGATGGTACCAGTGTTTTGTGTATTGTATGCATCTATTGTTAATGTCTTTTAGTGTTTGAATCTAGAGACCAAACATTTATTGTGACACTGAAAGATAAAGATGATGGTGATTGTAGATAGATAGATAGATAGATAGATAGATAGATAGATAGATAGATAGATAGATAGATAGATAGAGTGAAACTGTATTAATTATTTTTGAAATGCAGTTTATCAACTCACACACTTCATTGCATTAACATTAAAATGCGTTTATTCCCATTTCTGAACAGTAACAAAATTCAGGGGGGAATTACAACCATAGGGTAATAATCCATACAATTTCACAAATCAATAACATAAGCCTTTTTTCATATAGAAACTTTTTACAGTGCAACAGTGTAATTGTTCTTCATTTCTAACCTTTTTTTTCTCATTGACAGCATCCAGAAGTAAGGAGACTGAGGGTGTTTTTTGGGATGACCTGGCCTATTTAATCGAGGAGCATTGCATTGCTGACTTACTGCAGGCAAAACAAAAACAGATAGACAAAGCATTCGTCCAGGCCTATAGCCAGCTAATTAGACTGCCTTCAGTACTGTCTTAGTCAGAGCAGAAGAGGGAAAGTCATTTGCAGATAAGATACTTGATACTAAACAGCTGTATTTACAAAGCAGAGAACACGCACGAGTGACTCTGCAGAAATAGCACGTAGATTTGTCAAACATCAAAGAGTTTATTTACATACAACGTAGATAATTCACTTACAGATAAACATGAAACGAACCTGGGCTGTTTGTAATAGGCTGTTTCCATACAGACTTTTACAGGAACAAGCACAGGCTCAGGAAATATTATCCTTTATATTGTCCAGATGGGGATATCCTAAAAACTGAAAATAAAGACATAATTTAACAATGTAACAACATGGCCAAAATCACCCGAATATATTGCAGAGCAATAATCTAACACTGCTATAACTAGAATGTACTTTTTAAACCTAATTTTACTTGATAATTACAATATGAAATAACTACTCGCAGTGGCCACTTTATTAGGTACACCTACCTATTAATGCAAACAACGCGCTCCTGCAGACAGTAAATTAGGTGGCTGAAAATTATTATGTACAGCAAACAGTCCGAAGTAAAAGGCTTGGTTAAGGTACTGCTCAGTGTTAGAATGGCGCAGATGCCTGACAGGAGTGATTTCGAATGTGGCACAATTATTGGTGCCGTAGGTGGTGATTTTCATACCCCTGCGGTATCTAAAGTTTTCACTGGACGGCGTAATGAATAAAACCCATCCAGGCAGGATCAGCTCTGTAGCTGAAAACACTGTATTAATGAGAGAAGTCAGAGGAGAATGACCAGGCTTGTTAAAGCTACCAGGAAGACCACACGTCCAAAGAAAGGACAGGTCAGTATAGCAGAGGTGTGCAGAATGAGATCTCTATGTATAAGTCATCCACCCCTTAAGCAGTTCTGGAGATAATAGGGGATCTTACCTGGTGCATAGGAGTACCTAATAAAGTGGGCACCAAGGGTATGTTTAGTATTACAGCTAAAAACTATAGAATATGTTATGATAATGTAACTAATAACTTACAATTGTTTAAAATAGTAACATTCTACAAAAATCAGCATTTGATTGTTCTAGACAATTAACAATTTGTGTGTTTACAGATATTTTTCTTCTGTCTTTGACCCCCATCTACTGCAGTCCTATCTCATTTTATCTCACAGGAAGCCAGGCCTGTACCTGCTCTCTTCAGCCCTGACGGACAGGAGGGGGGACAGGTCGGAAGATTGGTACATCCCTGACCTCGTTCTGCCCTGGCATCCTCGTAGGTCTGGCATCAGCCCCCCCAGGCAGAGGCTGGGGTCCGGGCTCCTGTCTGAGGCGTCTTCCAGCCGCACCCCATCCACGTCAATGACCCTGCCAGCGGGAAGTGCTGGGGAAGACGCCCCCTTGTGGTGTGTTGTGGGAGTGTGCGTCTCTTCGCATCCTGGAAACAAGCAAAAAAATAAAATCAAGATCCACGTCACCGGTCTGGGCTTAGATCCAACATTTACCCAAACAACTAGTACTGATTAAAAAATGAGGATTAAATAAAGTGATAAAATATAAGGAATTGATTTGAAAAGCTGCATAATATATATATGAGGGAACAGTTTTCATCATCATAGATTGCAAAGGCGGTCTGCAGATGTTTTGTGCTATCAGGATATCAGCCTGATAAAATGGTAATTTAATTTAAATTGAATTTAATTTAATTTAAATGTGTCTCTTTGTAGCCTTTCTGGGCGTTTCCAGAAGGTTTGGGGACTGGAAACCAAAGCAGCAGTCACTAAAGAGAGAGCTTTGTATCTCAGTCCCTCTATACAGAGGACTGAGGTTTTAGGTTTTAGGAGGATGGGGTCATGCTTTGTAATGGAGCAGACCTTGTCTTCGAAGTGCTGCTTAGGTAGGTAAAAAGGATCTGTCTGTTTTACTGGGTGACTGACAGAGGGAGTGGGTAGCACAGGAGTGGGAGTCAACACGCTGAGTGTTCCTTGGTTCTGTTCCTACCAGCAGCACGCTGAGTGTTCCTTGGTTCTGTTCCTACCAATATAAATGATGTTGTGTTCTATTCAGCCCCAGTAGCCCAGACCAAATTTTAAACACCAATACCACTTGAATTGCAGTTTGTACAATTGACAGAATTGGGCAAGATATGATAGTAATGTAATTTAAGTAGCTGGGTAAATGTGGTGAGACAGGATTGTATAGGTGTGGTGTGGTGTAGCATTGTCTCGCATCGACTAGGGTTTTTGGAGTGTGGTACCATGTGATGCAGTCTAAGATTAGCCACCTAAGATTGCGTAACCCTGCTAAGGTGTGTTATGGGCAAAAATGTTGCCCAATCAGAGTTGTATAGCGGTAGGCTGTGGACCAGAAATAAGTACAAACATGCGTGTCGTTTTCATCACACTTGGTCAGCGAGTGAAACGGATCGACTGGCCTTAGAAGGAGTCATTCGTATTTCCCAGTGCCTAAGATCTTACTTTTCTGTTAAGCTGTACCCCTAACCCAGCCCTGTGATTTGGGACCCAGGCGGGTCACTGGCAATGTGAAGCAGGATGAAGGTGTCTCAGCCAATCCAAGGCCGCCACTTACTTACGTTGACCTTAACCCACGGACAAGCACCTCAGTGCAATAATTTGGCCTTCTGTGTCATTCTGGCTATTATTCTTCACAGCTAGCAACATTCACTAGAAAGGCACAGGGGAGCTTTGCCAGCAAATAGGCCCTTAATCACTATAAATGCAACGTATCAGAGGGTGAATCTCAGCTCTCTGCCTCACCTAAGATACAGGTAGCTCTCGAAAGATGGGGATTAGGTTTGTGCTTTAGGTTTATAATTACTTGCTCGCTTGCTGTGAGAATTCTGAAGCATGCTGTGTGCTTTAATATATAAAGTGTCAATCATCTGCTTTGTGTCTGCAAGGGGCCTCACTCAATGAATAGAAAAGGAAAGGATTTCTCAACAGCTCAAGCAGTTGCCGAACGACACACGAGTCAAGTGTAATTCTAATGAACATGCTGCCCTCTGGTGGACAATCTCCTTATCTATACTGTATTCAACCATGCACAATCTGGGATCAAATCATGTTTTTGACGCATTGGCCATTACTATGTCTGTCTGATTTTGCCCAAAACTGGATGATTTAGATATTACTTTATTTTTTATTAGAAAAGAAAAAAAAACGCAGTGACACTGTACTTAGCCTTCCCCGCTGGACTTCCAGTTCTCACCGCCTTCACTGGGACCCTAATGGGTTATGTGCCAGTTACTGAAAATGCATGGATAGAGGGCTGACTCTCATTAACCTTCCTGTCGTGCTCGTAGGTGGAACCCTCTGACATATGACAGCAGAGGATGGCAGTGTAGTTAAATGTCATGTGGACTTGCATGGCACCTTCGCCAAGGAAACGGATGTAGATGCAAGTCAAATCAGCTAAAGGTCTCACCTTTATGGAAATGAATCAGTTAAAACTCGGGAGCTAGCACAAATGCATTATTAAACATTGCATAACAAATTAAAAGGCCCTCTCATTAGACTGTAGTCATGTGTTTATTTCCTGTGTAATTACTGCCAGCAGTGTAGACAGTATCGGCCAGCAGTATCAGCCCCAGTACCACTTCATGAAAGATGGCGGTGGTTCATTAATGCTTAATCAAACAGCACCACATTAATTTTGTTCGGGGATATTGCTACCAAGCTGTGTGTTCTGAGGGGGGTGTGGCTTGATGTGAGCTCCGCCCACCATCCAGCGTGAGCTTTGAAGGAGTCACAGCGCAGGTGAAAAATGGAAAAAGGAGGCCTCAGCCATGACTTCACCACACTTCAGAAAGCAGACCCAAAGCACAGAAAAATTATTACTGTATAGACCTCCACTTACCACTGACCCTTCCCTTAGCCAAGTCTTTAACAAAACCCTGAAAAGTATCACACAGGCAAAAGCGAACAAGCTGACAGAGGTAACACAAAGCTTACGCCTCCACAGAGAGGCAGGGGGATTTAAGGCATGGGAATAGAAACCTCTCAGCGTTTTCTCTGAAGATGTGTCACACATACAAGTCCGTGAGGAGACGCGGACCTTTCAGGAAAGAAGGCACTGTTTCTCTCGCACCCTCGCTAACCGCCAACTCACGGAGCTAAAACCGTTCAGAGAAGAGGTGGAAATACAAATTGGCGAGAGGAGAGGAAGGATGACTGAGAGAGGGACAGACTGCGTCCAGGCCTGAGCTGGACAGTTCTGTGGCTGTGCGTGGAATCCACACAAATTGCACGGAGAGGTTTGACAGGGTGACACAGAGGAGTGCATACAGAATGACACACTTATGGAGGCGAAGGCATTCAGCCTCGCGCACACAAACACACATGGTAGACAGAGCTGGCATTTCAGGTGTGTTTATTAAGTCCAATCAAATGTGTACAGGAAGACTCAGAAATAAATACTAACATAAAACATGGAGGAGAATGGTAGTGAATGGATGGTAACTTAACAATGCTTTGGGTGAACAGCCGGCAAAAGTGCAGTATTCTGTGCTGAAGTCTTAGACCTCCAAGAGAAATAACGTTTAAATTTATATTACATAAAGGTATGTTAGCTCAGCCTTTTCAAAACCTCTCCTCAAGTCAGAACCATCCAATAGGTACCCATGCATTTGTTGAAATTGACCACTAGCATACCATGTTTGGCTAATCAATATCTCATAAAATCACCTAATTAAGTCAAATAATTAAAGTTGGCGGGTGATGAAATTTAGCAAAAGGAGCAAAACGAATAAGTCGTTGCTGTTTCTTCAGAATACATGAATTTATACATGAAAGCAAACTAGTAAACAGCACCTAACTAACATGAATGATGTTTCATTTAAACTATTATTTCTCAGTCCGCTCCTCTGGGACCCACAGATGGTCCAGGTTTTTGTTCCCTCCCAGCTCACCCTCACAGTCTGAGGGCCCCCGAAGAGCGGTTTGCCAAACGCTGATTTAAACCAAATCCTGTTTTCCAAGCATTGTTGAATTGCATTTTATGGGGAGACAAGACAGAAAGACGACATTACTTTTAGTGGTATTTATTTTAGCAGAATATATATTTTATTTATTTAGTGGTATTTATTGGACCAAGTTTAAGATAGCAGCATATTTTGGTGACCTCGTTTTGGGTTTACAAAACATACGGGTCGGAGTTGTATGAGATACAAAGCCAGGAGCCAAAGCAGTCTGTTACTCTGCTGGCTTCATGGTCAGCCACAGGTAACTGGCACTCACCTCCTGAATGTGGGACAATATCAGCCCAAAGTCTCTATGGGGTCCCGTCAGGACTAAAGCACTGTGTCTAACCATCCACAGAACCTGCTTTGGGTCCGAGGCAGTACGGCGTAAACACTCACGGTTGCCCATGAATGAGGAAGTAAAACTTATAGGCGGAAATAAGAATGTACTATATCTACAAATAAAATATCAAAAATATAAAGTGTCATATTTTAGTCATGGTTGAAATCTGAAAATAGACCCGGGCTTAGCCTCTTTTTGAATCTTTAGGAAGTTTGTTTTTGAATAAATAAAAGTGCATCCGCTAGACGTGACGTGGGTCGTTTCAGTCATCTCAGTCCACACCTCCGCACACACGCACGCTGAAGCATCACTCTCCCGCGGTACCTGAACCTCCCCGAGCATCCACCTCGCTCCTGGAGGGGGCCTCTGGCGGCAAACGGAGCGGGGATCCTGAAACATCCCCATCTGCGACCGGGGCCAGGTCGGCCTCGCTCTCCTCCTCCAAGGCCAGGAAAGGGGCGGGGCTCCGCGAGGATGGCGGGGCATGCAGCGGACGTGCGGTGCTGCTGGGACCGTTCCCGCAGACGGGCAGGGTGGAGTCCAGGCTCTGAAAGTTCCGGCTGGCAGTCAGGGTGCTACGGCGGGACGCGGGGGTGGGGTGGACGGCCTTAGGTTCGGGCTCGGGTTTGGGATCAGCAGGAGTCCGCAGGAAGTCGGGCAGCACTAGAATCTGCTCAGTCAGTAATCCTCGCTGGTCGTCTGCCCGGCAGCTTTGGGCTCTGGACAGAAGCTCAAAGAACTCTGCAAAGCGAAATGTGCCAGTGGCAGACTGTAACAGACTGATTGTTTGTCTCCTTTACTGTCACACGTACACCCCTGGAAAAATAACTGGAATAATAATGTGTATAACTAAGGCTATAAGCAGCTAGAATGGTAGAGAGGAAGCAGGATGAGGCTCTAAGCCGCTGAAATGATAAAGAGAGGAAGCAGAATGAAGCTATGAGCAACTGGGATGTTAAGGAGAGGAAGCAGAATGAAGCTGTAAGCAAGTGGGATGTTAGAGAGAGGAAGCAGAATGAAGCTGTAAGCAGCTGGGATGTCAGAGAGAGGAAGCAGAGCAGAGTTACCTTCAGCTTCATCTATATTAATCTTTTTTTTCTCCCCGTGTTTGAAAGGTCGCCCCCCGCTGGAGCCCCCTCTGGCCATCACACAGCCCGACTTTCCAGGTCTCTCATCCCCCTGGGTGGCAACAATGAAAACAGACCGCATTAAGGGTCAGGACTGGGGCCATTCAAGATCCAAACAGGCTACCACCATCTGCCTCCCATAATGCCGTGCGCTTACACCCCCTTATCGTAGCTCCAGCCTGAGTGGCGTGTGTGCATGTCTGTGTATACTTGTGTGATTATTACATTTACACGGTTACAGTAAGCAGTTGCTTTCTGCCTGACTATCAGTGGTCATTATGTATTACAATACTGGTATATGAGTGTGTACATTTGTGCTTGTTAGTGAATTTTGCATATGTGCACATGTGTGTGTGTGTTTGTGTGTGGGCATGTAAGTATTACATCGTGGAGACCAAATGTCCCCCGCAATGTAATGAAAATATGTTATTTTGACCTTGTGTGACAGTTTTATCAAAAAAAAATCTGTAAGTAATCAAACACACAAAAATGTCCAAAAAATGTGTATTATGTTTGGTCAATTATGGTTAAGGTTACAGCTGGGTAGAGGTTAAGGTTGCCATAGCTGGGATTAGGATTATGCCGATAGAAATGAATGGACGGTCCTCACAAACATATGAGTACAACTCTGTGTGTGTGTGTGTGTGTGTGTGAATTATTATGAAAACACAATGTGATAAAAAGTATTTGGACATTGTGGGGACCATTTTTTCAGGTGCCCAAAAGTTCTGTGACTGCAAGCAAAAAACTAAAAAGGCAATAAGTCTTGTATTTTGTTTGGTTACTTATGGTTAAATTAGGACGGGGTAAAGGTTAGGGTGTTTATGTGGGGACTACAGTTTTCCCTATAGAAATGAATGGAGAGTCCTCACAAAGATAGAATTTCAAATGTGTGTGTGTGTGTGTGTATAGATATATATATATATAGATATAGATATAGATACAGATATAGATATTCAGACTGAGAATCAGACAGGTTATACCAGCCAGAGGCAGCACAGACAGCAGATGACAGGGCATCGTTAGGAGGGACCAGAAGTGGCAGGGTGTTGCACGAGGAAACTGCATGCCGTTAGGGGTGGCAAGGCAAGATACCATCCCCAGTGTACAAACAAGTGGAAGAGACACGCATAACTACGTCACGTGACACATCGCATACACATATACACACACTCTTACCGCCGAGGAGCGGCTTCGTGTGGTCAGAGGTGGTGCTCGGCGAGAACCCGAGGCACCAGACTTCTGTTTGTCTTCTGTGGCAACAAAAACAAATGGAGGGGTTAGGGTGTCAGACTTATCTGCAATACCACTTGCTACCACTAGGGGTGGCACATGCTCCTCAGACATGAGGACCAAGGATAAGGATATGACATCATATTTGCCATGTGTCAAAATTCCACGATGTGCCCTTACTCTTCTCCAAAAGTATGCATGCTATGTTAAATGTGGTGTAACCTTCTCACAAGAACGTGACTCACATTTTTGTATAATTTGGTTGCTAGATCACCCACACCTGAATACACAGCTCACACATACAGTTAATACCTTTCTCTCACTTATAATAATAAACAAAAGTGCTATTTCTTCTTCAATAGCTTTCTTCAACCAGACAGGATTACATGCAAAAAAACTGATGCCAAAATATCACCTCATGTCATGGATTTTTATGTCTGTCGTTGCTTAATGGCACAGTATTTGCGCACACACTCTCCTAGCTACTGCAGGCAGCCTGTGACTCATGGCTGAGAATTACATGTATGCAGAGAATTATCCATCAGACAGGGTGTTTACGTGTATGTATGTCTGTTTCTTTATGTGTGTTTGTGGAGACGTTTAGTTGTTTTGTGGATATTTTTTCAGTGTTACGCAAAATCCTTCTAAATATACTTACGCATATTGTGCATTTGTGCGTGTATACCTTTTTTTGAAGCGTGCTCAGGCACATCCAGCACAACCCGGCATCCATCTAGACTAGATATGGGTGCTCCGAAATCCAGGGGTCCCGACTCCCCGCTCTACACGGGAACACGGAATGGGGGTATGTCAGACCTCACTCGCACGCCAACACAGCCCCGTCTGCCCCCAGCTGGAGCCACCTTACATAAACCCCAGAGGCTGGAGGTGCTGAGTGATGACGACTCTTCCTGGCTCCTCATTAGAGAGCCCAGTCTACAATGAGTCACATGTTGCATAACTTTTTTTTTATCTCAAAATTAGTCATATTACAATCACATTTCTCTCTGTTCCCATAACTCCAACATCTGAAGCAACTCGCTCTCGAAAAAAGACGATGGAAGCCCGTTGTGATTCGGACCACGGCGTGTTGAGGGATGACTTACAACTCTGGCCACCAGGTCGCTCAGATGAAAGCCATATTTTGCTACAACGGGCCGCAAGACCTCTGTGACAGGTTTGTTGGGCTTGGCCTTCAGTCCCACAGACCGGTTAATCGGGACGAGGTCCAGCCTGAAAGGCAAATGAAGCCAAGCAAACATAGATGGACTTGGTCAGGACATCGACAGCAGGGCAGTACTGAGGTTGAGCAGGGCTTCATTTAATCAAACACACTTACCTGAACAAAGTGCGTTTTTCTAATCTTAGGTCTCTTGTGCTCAAAGTTATGCAGTCTTGGTCCAGAACTAGGGGCTTCAAGAAGTAAAAAAAATATCATAAAACAAGAAAACTAGATATATTAGCTTGAGTAGATCAATCAGCCTCCTACTAGTACTTCTATATCAGATGCTCTTCTACTAGTGTATTTTATATTAAAGTCACCAGAAGATCTACTACTCTCGTCAGTGTTCTACAGCATGGATCAGTGCTCGAATTATGCCATGTGCTACACTACTATCATGCAGGCAGTCCCCAGGTTATGAACGAGTTCCACTCCCTAAATCTGTCTTCGAGTCAAATTGGTAGGTAAATCGGAAAAAAAGTAATACAGTACTTAGTAATAGTAATATTATAGAGAAAATAAAAACTACATACAGTACTGTACTGTACATTGAGCATACAAACCGCTGATGCCATGCAAGAATGAGTTGTCTGTAAGTCAGACGTTCTTAATCCGGGGACTGTCTGTAATAACCCTGTTTGCAGTGTTACAGTATTCACAGTCAGTGATGACTACTGCTGTGCCTGTAGCCTTTGAATACTGAAGGGGGACGGTGGAGATTTTACCTTCTCTCCCCCAACCAAGAAGAGGTCCACAGAAGCCAGGTTGATGTGCAGTTTCTCACAAAGCTCCAGCAGCAGCTCCCTGATGGATACACCCGGGCGGATGGCCAGGGGGTAACGAGAGCCATCCGGCAAGTTGACGGTACACTGCGCCATGGCTTTATCACACACAGCCCCAGAGGGGCGGGGCTCTGCCTACATGAGTGACATCCAGGACAACCAATCAGGTAGGGGGCAATGGGAGGGACAAGATCAATGGGACAGATTGGTAGGGAGAGAGTGGACAATTGTAGGGATCAGTAGTGACGGCCAAATGAAGCTCAATGAACCATTTGCTGTATTTTTTGACCCCACTAGATGGTGCTCTTAGTTTGCTATGGGGGATGTTTTGAGCCCTTTATTGAATAGAGAGCACCACCTATTGGGGTCTGAAAATACAGCAAACAGTTGGCCATCATTAGGGATGACTAAGCCACATAGAATTTCATTGTATATTTTTGTACTAATAAAGGTGTCTTATGACACACTTTCCACTTTCATGTTGAAATTATTTAAAATAAAAAAAAAACATCACTTTGCATTTGATCCAAAAAAAATCCCAAAAATAAACTGAATGGGGGAAGTACTTTGAAAATGAAAACACAGTATGCAATTAAAATTAATTCGCCTTCACATACACAGACACTGACCTCGGTTCCGGAGACCAGCTCCAAACTCGTACCCGAGGACAGCGAACCCCGCGACTCCCGTCGGCCATTGCTGCTGGAGAAATCCGCTACACCAACAACACGGGGGGAGGGGGCTTGAGCTCTGAGGTTTAGGCACGCACGGGACTTGTTCAGGACGAGGTGCCCACACTCACCATGATTATATTCTCCCAAGTCAGCTTTCTTGGACCCCTTCCCAAAGCTGGTGTTCAGAGTCCAGGAAGAGAAGATCCCTCTCTTCTTGTCTGTGTGTTCCTCTTTGTGGTCCTGGGTTCCTGCTTTGGTTGGTTTCAGTTTCTTACCCTCCTGTCAGATCAGCAGCAGAACAGCTTATTTTTTTTGATTCCTTTTTTTAAACATAATTTAAGAGTAGGGGTGGTACCCCGATGTCCTGGCTAAAATTGCCCGCTGTGGCCCTATCAAATCTGGCCCCCTATCCATCCCCTATATCTAACTGGTGAATCCTCTCCTGCCCCTTCACCACCTTAGCTACTGTGTGGTGAGCATACTGGTGCAGAATGGCTGCTGTGGCATCATCCAGGTGGGGGCTACACAGTGCTGGTGGATGAAGGGGCTCCCCATTGGTTCTGGGTGTCTTGAAAAGCACTTACGAGTCTGGCCACCAGGTCGCTCAGATGGAAGCCATATTTTGCTACATTCATGCAGTTGTTCATTCATTCATTCATTTAAATCAACATAGTTCAATAAAATGGTCTACAGGGAGTCATGGGATGGTGTAGTAACACAACCAAACAGATAAGACCAATTATATCTGAGTGACAATCGAATGGAATTTACAGAGAAAACAAAACAGAAAGAGCCTCACTGCCCCCTTGGCCTCCCCCTACCTGTAGATCCCAGAAACCCCCAGCCTCTATAATGACTGACATGCTTAAACGGAGTGTTTAATGTGGCCCATGCTCTGCGTGAGAAGCAGGTGATAATGGCGATTTCTTATTTGCTGTCACTGAGGAGCATTAAATAATTGAAAAGGTCATGCAGGAAATGTATGGCAGCACGACAAGGCGAAAGGTTACACCTACCATAGATAAATACCTTCCTGAGGGTAGCCAACAATAGCAATCTTTTGAAATTCTGCAACACTTTAAATTAAGATCTGCTTTTTAATTATTAATATACTGTCACTAATCATTTGATAATATACTAATACATAGAAGTATCATTCACAAACCCATTTATAAATGTATTACAATCATATCTTGCTCCTGGTATTTACTAAACAACTTGTAAATCACTTGCAAATACTAAAAAATGGGTTAGTAAACATACTCAGAAATTAGTTTTCAACGAGCATTTACAAGCTGTTTAGTAAGTACTTTGTTAAACAGGAGTATGAAATCTTTGTACTACATTTCAAAATTTGATTCTAAGTTAATCTTTTTTGTACTAATGTAAAAAGAACTAAATATGCTTTATTTGCCATTTGCACAAGTAAATTGGAAGACTTCTTTTCACTGATCATCTTGCTCTCTAGCTTGGGGCTAGTTGATGTGCAGCGCCCCTTGAGCTGGGGGTTAAGGGCCTTGCTCAAGGGCCCATTGACATGTGACTGTTCTGCCAAGGCTGGGGCACAAACCGGCCACCTTCTGATCACTGGTACAGAGACTTAGTATCAGAGATTAGTATCAGTTTATTAACAGTTAAGGAGCTGACCTAAAGTGTTACCATTAGAGTCTCTAAACTGCATATCATATGTGACTGTGTATTTCATCCAGGGTATCCCGTGACCTGAGCGCAATACTGCCAGGCTGAAGATCCATGCTTACCAGCTCCCCTGTACTGCAGTGTTTCCCAACCTGGTCCTCGGGGACCCATCGATGGTCCACAATATATTATATGTTTAATACCAAAAGCAAATAATTATTTTATAGTACGGATACTGCTGCAACAACTCAGCGATCGAATGTCTCCTTTTAGAAATCGCTCCCTGAAAATGAACTGGCAAGCAGTGATTTTTCTTCACTCCGCGACCAGGATCACGACGGCGTCTCATTTAGGCTTGTTCTTCTGCCAGGCCCTCCCACACACTGAAATGTACATGCCTGGAAAAGCACTGGCAGCAAGTATCTTGACAGGAACTTTGCTGGACTGGCCAAATAAGGGAAATGTGGTGGGATGTGGCCGGATGTGGTGAAATTCATCTGGGTGTGGACAGATGTGGTGGAATTCTGTGTGGAGATAGTAGAATTCTGTGTGGATATTGTAGAATTCTGTGGTATATGGTAGAATTCTGTTGTATACAGTGGTATGGTAGAATTCTGTGTCAATGTAGTAGAATTCTGTGTGGAAGTGGTGGAATTCTGTGGTATGTGGTGGAATTCTGTTTGGATGTGGTGGAATTCTATGTGGATGTGCAAGAATTCTGTGGTATATGGTGGAATTCTGTGGTATACGGTGGTATGTTGGAATTCTGTGATATATGGTAGAATTCTGTGTGAATGTAGTAGAATTCTATGTGGATGTGGTAGAATTATGTGGTATGTGGTAGAATTCTATATGGATGTGGTTGAATTCTGTGTGGAAGTGGTAGAATTCTGTGTGGAAGTGGTAGAATTATGTGGATGTGGTAGAATTCTATGTGGTAGAATTCTGTGTGGAAGTGGTAGAATTATGTGGTGGAATTCTATGTAGATGTGGTAGAATTCTGTGTGGAAGTGGTGGAATTCTGTGGTATGTGATAGAGAAAAGTTGGAAAAATGTGCTGGAATTCAGGAAGACATGGTCATGATTCACCTTCCTTGGTGTGGTCAACGTGGAGAAGCTTGAATGGTCAGAGCCAGCACTGTGCTTAGAGAGGACAGGACTGCTAGGTGGTTTCTGGGGGTCAGGCATGGAACGACCTTCAACCTCAGCCAGCATGCAGTCTCGGTACAAGGAGGATCTCAGAAAGCGAGTGTAGCTGTCAAACTTCATCAAGTTGAAGATCTGCAGTGGAAGAAGGTGCAGTGCTGTGTTAACATGGATTTTTAAGAATTAAAAGACAATTTGTAAAGCCAACAAAAACTGTATTCTACTGAGGAACTGACACTGCAATATAACTAGGAGACCTTTAATTTCTCATATGTTTCAGAAAGTAACATTTTTTGTATGTTGACAATCATAGGTGCATCTGTCTCAGTGTCAAGACCAGCCACATATATTTATAATTTACCATTAAACTTTTCAGTATGAACTTCCTGCATAGTTATAATAATAATAATGATAATGCTGACATTTTATTTTGCATTTCTTGCCATCACTATTGAGCCCTTCAGTAAGGCCCTTAACAAAATTACTCCAGGGAGATTGGTTGACCATGCTCTCTGATCCTCATTTGTATGTCACTTTGAACAAAATCATTTTCTAAATAAAACAAATATTGTACAGGTACAAGAATTCTTTGGTTTTCACATACTCCATCTTACTCTCCTATGAGACACACATCATAGACAGGTAAGTGTGAAGTACAGGGTAAGTCATTAATAGGACCTTGCCCCCTGGCATGAGGTAAGGTTTTTTTTATGAAATGTGTCACAATTAGCCAGGAAATATTAATGAGCATAGGCAAACATTTGTGTGAGAGGAACATGGACAGAGGTAAGTGTGAGCTGAGCGTAGACAGAGATTAGTATGAGAGGAGCATGGACACAGTGTGAGATGAGTGTGGACAGACATCAGTGCAAGATGAGAGTGGACAGAGATACGTACAAGAGGAGCATGGACAGAGATCAGTGTGAGCATACATACAGTGTTGACACACCACAGCACGACAACAAAATGTGTCCTCTGCATTTAACCCATATGGGACATAGCGGGGGGCAGCTAATTCAGCCTCCAAGGGAGCAGTACGTTGCTCAGGGAACCTCAGTGGTACCTTGCTGGTCAGGGATTCAAATTTCAAGGGATTCTTTCAATTACAAGTGCGCTTCCCAAACCCCACTACTGCAGTGTAAGATGGTTGTGGACAGACATAAAGGTGAGATGAGCGTGGAGAGACAAAATTGTGAGATGAGCGTGGACAGAGATCAGTGTGAGATGAGTGTGGACAGAGATCAGTGTGAGCAGAATGTGAATTTCTTCAGTTTATGGGAACAGAAACCTCACATATGAAAATGACACTATATGATCAAGGTGAGCTCGGGGTAAATGGAAGGCATGTCTCAATGCGACAGAGGTTGACATGGGCATCAAGGG